GACAGCTTGTATGTTCTCTCCTCCTTCTGTGTAGATCCTGGGGCTCACGCTGTAGTTGTCAGGCTTGGCGGCAAGCGCCTTACTCTCTGAGGCATCTCTCCAGCCCTAGAACTTACTACAAATCGAAGTGCACAGCACGCACTCTGTAACTGGCGTCTCTCACCCAGTTTAGACATTTATTTTTGTCTTTGTATCTCTAGCTTGTTGCCTCTATTACTAAGCAGTGTGCCAAGTTAGCCATCGTTTATTGATGGACGTTGAGTGGGTTTCTGTGTTTGCCCAAGACAAAGAAGCTCATGTGAGCACACATGTTCAGTTCACTGTGTGGATTTTTACTGTCTCTTCTTTGGGGTAGTGTACCTAGGAGTCAGATGGTTGGATCACAGAACAGATACATGTTTCAAACTTTTAAGAACCTGCTGATCTGTCTCCCAGAGTGGTTTTAGATTTTAAGTATCTATTGGCAGTGCCTGAGACCTGGGGAGGCGTAGACAGAGTCATCCCTCTCACAGCAACCCAACCCTGGGTAAGTGTTGAATGCAGGCTTTCCCAAATAACAAAATATGTATTTTGCAATGGTGCCTGTGTGTGCCTGTGTGTGCATGTGTGTATGTGCATGTGTATGTGTGCATGTATGTGTGTACATGTGTCTGCTTCCCATCCTGTTTAAGCAGAATCACTCTTTGTCCCTTGCTGCTGCATAGTCCAAGCTAACTGGCTTATAAGCCACCACAGATTTGTGTGTTTCTTCTATCTTGACGCAGAAACACTGGAATTATTGAGGTGTGCTACTGCACCTGGTTTTTAGGTGGGTTCTGAGCATTGAGAATGCTCAGCCAGGCAGCACACTGGCCAGGACTCATATGCACAGCTCCTGCTCCCAACATGATTCTTCTTGCATTGAACCTAGAGATCATGTCTGCCCAGAAGACAGACACATGGCCACTGGACCCCTTCATCTGTGCTTCCCAGCAAGGCCGTGTTGACTCAGTTCCCTTTCCTCTGCTTCTGAGGCTCCTTTAGCTAGCATGTCAGAACAGTAGTGGAGTCCAGCCTGCTGGCCAGGACCCTTGCCCTAGATTTCTGGCTATATTCAGAGAGCACATTTTGTCTAAAGGTGAATGGCTGGTGTGCCGATGAGCCATTTGCTCCCAGATCTGACTGGTCATGTAAAATCTTTCCATTAGGAATGTGTACATAAGAAGGCAAAGTATGAGCCAGCCAATGGGTGTGCACCTGGAATCCTTACACCAGCTGTGGCAGGAACAAGTTCAGTGCCAGCCTGAGATATTTAGAAAGACCTGTCTCCAAAACAAAAACCTAAAAACAGAAATCACAGATCATCTCAAGAGATCCAGGAAAGTCTAACACAGCTCCTAATAAAATTCTTAAAGAAACAAGGAATAGAAGGAACAAGACTATGATACATGTTTAGCCAATGCCACTAATGGAGAAAAATCAACTTTTCCTAAACTCAAGAATGAGAAAAGAGGGCTGGAGAGAGGACTCAGAGGTTAAGAGCACCGTCTGCTCTTCCGGAGGTCCTGAGTTCAATTCCCAGCAACCACATGGTGGCTCACAACCATCTGTAATGAGATCTGGTACCCTCTTCTGGCTTGCAAGATACATGCAGGCAGAACACTGTATACATAATAAATAAATAAATCTTTAAAAAAAATGAGACAAGAAAACCCTCTCAACATTGAGACCCAGTGTTCTGAGTCTTAGCTAGAGCAGTAAGACAAGAGGAAGAAAACAGATGCAAATGAGAAAAGATGACATAGCCCTATGCTTAAAAGACCCTCAAAAAATCCCACCAGAACAGCCTTAGGCCTGATAAACACTTTCTGCAAAGCAGCCATGTACAAAAGCAATATAAGAAACTCAGTAGCCTTTTTATATAACAAGAGTGGATTTGCTGGCCTGGAGTAATGGCTCAGCAGTTAAGTGAAGTAGAAACTTATGGGTTCTTTGGAAAGTCAGTTGGATGGTCTTTTGCAGGAGCAAACATGTGAAGGAACATTTCACTGAGACACATGGACATGTGATGAAGGATTCTTTGATATGATACACATGGGTTGGACCGCCTTACATTACGTAGTTGAACTGCATTTGTTGGGACTCCATAGATAAAAGAAATGCACCAAAAACCTTCTGGTGGTGTGCTGCAGTTTCTTGCTGCTTCCACAGACTCAGACTCATTGGATGAACGTGCTAAGGCAAGACGTGTGCTGAGGCAAGGCACATGGAGGACACGTGATGTTCAGAGGGCCAGCTCCCCAATACCCACACCCTTGGGCCAGCTCAGCCCTGCCCCTACCACAAAGGTCAGCTCTACTGTGCTGCCTAGACAAGGTTCAGGGTCTGCTCTCCCAGGTGCTGCAGGAGGTGAGGGACAGGGCCAGCTCTCCCGCTCTAATGACCTCGGCCAGCATTGCTGCCTGCCATAGGTGGCAAGGGGTGAGGGGATCTTTCCTCACTGCATGGTAGATAAGTGAGGCCAGCTCTCCCCCACTCACTCCCGTGGAACTGACTCGCCTGTGCCTCTGCCTGCCACGATCCAGCACCAGTGGGGTTCTGGGCCATAAGACGGATATGTGGAGCTGACAGAAATGAAGAGTCTGACCACTAGTTGTCTTTCAAATAGACGGCCCTGAGTTGCTCATGCCATCTTTATTTATACAAGGTTCAGAACAATCAAGCATGAGCAGTTTCAGTTAATCTCTCTTTAATCATTTTCCAAGAATCATTAACATTTACTCATTTTGGTTTCTTTTCCTCTTCCCTAATCCCATGTCATCATTAATTGACCTACGCCCCATATCTAAACATCAATTAACCTTTATTTCCTGTCTAAGCATGGATGTTATATTGCAAGCCGAGTGGTTATATTTATCCTGGCACATCCCACTCATACCGTGCCCAGGCCAGCAGCAGACAGGTGGTTATGGAAATGATATTCAAGCTCCATGGTTAGTCTTTAACAGTATGAAGTTTTATATTTTTATAGTCAGTAGGGAGTATGATATCCTACGTAGAATAACATTTTTCAGGCGTGGGTCTAACTTGTATGGATGTGTATCACTATGTGTCACTTTTACGTGAATGGCAGTTGTGGTCCTATTCTTTATGCATTCTCAGAACGGTAATGATTAATTCAGTGATGGTTTGAACATGCTTGCCCCAGGGAGTGAGGAGGTGTGGTTTATTGGAGTAGGTGTGTCACTATGGGTGTGGGCTTTATTACTCTCGTCCTACGTGCCCGGAAGTCAGTCTTCCACTAGCAGCCTTCAGATGAAGATGTAGAACTCTTAGTTCCTCCTACACCAGGCCTGCCTAGATGCTGCCATGCTCCCACCTTGATGATAATGGACTGAACCTCTGAACCTGTAAACAAGTCCCAACTAAATGTCCTTTATAAGAGTTGCCTTGGTCATGGTGTCTGTTCACAGCAGTAAAACCCTAAGACAAATTCCTAATTATTAACTGCTGGGCATAAGTTCCTATTCTTCCTAGCAGTTTCTACTTGTACTTTACCTCCAAGGGGAATGGGAGATTTAGATTCTTGTGTTGATTTTCTGGCACTGGAGGAAAGTCTGACCTTTTATGCCATTTCTTTCTTTCTTATATGTTCTATAAGTTCTTAATGTCATCTTTTAAGAAACTATCTCCTGAGGTCTTGGAATATAGCTATCTCTCTTTTAGAACAGTCAAGTAAGCAAGAACTATTAACCATAGTGAGTTCCTTCTGCTTACTCAAAATGACTGCACAGGCATCCAGGAGCAACCAGAGGAACCGGTTTTTGTGGTAGATTACGAAGAAACTTGTAGAAACTTTAGAAAAACTATCAAAGACTCGTCCATCGAAGAGGTTTTTGTTCCCAGTAAACTCAGCCTCAATCACAACTGACAAAAGCAAAACTAAGAAGTACCATAAGAATAAGTACAGTGAAAGCTGGAAGGCTCAAAGCCCATGCACTGCCTGGGATCAGCCCAGGGTCTGCAGTAACACCTCTACAGGTCCTCGCTAGGTGGGTAGGAATCTCCAAAGGGAGCTCCATGTACAAAACACTCATTCCCAGAGGTTATAGGATGGCTTCTGCCACTCACTGCTAGTGTGTGCTCTACTGTGCTACCCCACTGTGCTGCCCAGGTGAGAGACAGGGTCCCTCTCAGGAGCACTGCAGCTGGCTAGGGGCAGGGCCAGCTCTCCTGTGATATCCAGGTGAGGGGTGGAGCCAGCTCTGCTCAGTCTTCAGACACTAACTTGTCTCCAGGCAGCAACCCAGACCAGGGACATTGGCCTGGCCTTTGGTGGTAACAGACTCCTGCTGCTGTGGGACCTGGGACGCAGACATGGCCCCAGTGGCAGCACAGGTCAGAGCCCCACCAGGTGGCATCACCGGCTCCTCACATCAGGCTGTTCCTCACCGCCCTTGAGTCTGTAGTTCTGCCTCTCTTCACTGTGCCCACATCCTTCTGTTTCTCTTTCTCTTCCATTTCTCCACCATGTTCTTGCTCCTCTTTGTGGCACTCGGGGTCTCTGAGTGTCGGGTCGTCTCAGGAGTGGTCTCAGGAGTGCTATGTCCTGCTTGTGCATTATGGCACTGGGCAGGGGTCATCTCAGGCATGATCTGCCCTGCCAACAGACCTGCAGGGTGCCGGGCAGCTGGTCATCTCTGGCTAGCTACCTGTCCAGGCCCCATGGCGTCAGTCTGGTGGTCTTCACAGGCTTGCTCCTCACTCAGGACCTCCTGAATGGTTCCATGTGAGAATCCTCTGTCTCAGACCCACTCCCACTTGGGGCCCATGGTTCCAGGCAGAGGTTCTAGTTGTCATCATGGTCATAATGTTGTACCCCCGTTCTTCCCTCACCCCCTCTCCTTGTCCCACCCTTTCTTGTATGGCCTGCATGGAACTGGACTAGCTCAAGGTAGCTCTCTGTTCAGTGCCCTGTGGCGCCAGACTGGTGGTCATCTCAGGCTCGCTTTTTTAAAGGGAATGTTGGGCCACTAATCATTCAGATGTTCACAGGTCAGAACACTGAGTGTAGACATAGCCTCTCTCCTCTCTGCCCCCTACTGTGGCATGCGTGATACAGCGGCCACCCCGAAATGCCTCTAGTGGCAGGAGTACATGCTAACGGCTCATAGGACACCTCCTCTCACACTGTTCTTCAGTGTCCCACACATTGACATCTGTTCTTTCCGGAGCATCTAGAATCCACCCGTTTGACTGAGAGCAGCTCTCTGAGGTCCTGTTTGGCTTTGCACTTTTACTGCACATTAATACTGCATCTGGAGCCCTGTGAGGTGAGCAGCCAGCAACTCACTCAGCTCAGTGCTGTGTGCTTGTTCCCAATCGGGAAAACTTGATTTCCTGCTAAATATTATAGAGTTTCATAGATGTGAAGTCAGTCCATATTTATATAATACAAGTGGTAAAACACCATGACCAAGCCAAACAGTGGTGGCACATGCCTTTAATCTCATCACTTGGGAGGCAGAGATAGGCAGATCTCTGAGTTTGAGACCAGCCTGGTCTACAGAATGAGTTCCAGGACATCCAGGGCTACACAGGAAAACTGTCTTGAAAAAACAAACAATAAACTGAAAGCCTCAAAACCAACTAATGAGCCAACAAACCAGTCAACCAGACAAACAAACAAACTCATGACCAATAGCAGGTTGTATAAGAGAAAGTTAATCTTGGCTTATGGCTCCAGAGGGATAAGAGGCCATCATAGCAAGAGGCATGGCAGCAAATGAAGGAGTGGGAAGCTGTGAGGTCACATCCTCAACCGCAGGCATTTCCAGAAGCAAGGCAGCCATCCCTCCATCCCCAAACAGCACCACCAACTGAGGACCAAAAGTTCAAATACTTAGACTATGGAGACATTCTCATTCAAACATTCCACCACCAAGTTACATGCCAGGAATCAGTTAATATATATAATCAATATTTACTGCACATCATTCTGTGCTGAGATAGTCAAAGGAAAACAGATCCTACTGGCAGCTTCCAGGGACCTCCCTCCAACTGTGAGGCGGCACACAAGTCACCCACACACAAGCCACGGGGAGCCTCGAACGATGCTACTGGTGCCTTGTGCTAGTGAAGGGTGCACTAGGATTGGTGCTTCAGCAACAGCTGAGGTCAGGGGAGCCTGTTTGGAGGAAGTGGTGTGCGATCCTATCCTGGAAGAGGTGGGTTGGGACCGGTGTTGGAGAGGAGCCAGCATGGCCATCTGCAGAGTTAGGGACTAGCCAGGGAGGCAGGAACAGAGAAGGGTGGGATGCGTGGTGATGTCTCAAGATGATGCTAGAGGAGCCAGCAGCAAGCCATGCACCACAACGGCCCTCCCAGAAGGGGACAGCTGCAGTCTTGGCCTTGTCTCCTCTGGCTGCAGGTGGAGAGTTGTTCAGAGCTAAGCAGGACAGTGGTGGCTGAGGGTCCTGACGATGGACGGCAGTGTCAGTGGGTCATGATGCTGGAGAGGGACAGCCTCAGGGAGTAGAAGCAAGCTCCATGCCTAGTTTGCTCCTGGTGGTCCTGTGGTCCCAGAGCCCAAGTGAGTTCTCAAAGCTCTTAGCTATGTCGCTTTGTGGCCGTGTGAACCCTCTTCGTGCTCACCAGTCTCAGTTCCTTTATTTGAAGAACTGGATTGTTGCAAAGATATGTAAGGTGTCAGCACCGTGCCTAGCCTACAGTGTCCTTAACAAGTGATGATGGCATTGGTGGGGCATTTTGGTTACCAGTGAAGCATCCCCTCATGCTGTACAGGAAAGGGTGGGTAGGGAGTGGTGGCATCCCCTCATGCTGTACAGGAAAGGGTGGGTAGGGAGTGGTGGCATCTCTTTACATTTTTTTGTTGTTATTGGGGGGAGAGGGCTCATGGTTAAGAACACTTGCTGCTTTTCCAGAGGACCCCGGTTCGATTCCCATCACCTGCATGGCAGCTCACTACCATCTACCACTGTCCTAGGGGATCCAATACCCTATCCTAGCCTCTGCAGGCACTGGATTCATATGGTACACAGAAACACAGGCAGGCAAAACACTGTGCACATAAAAGAAAAGGAAAAAAATGTTATTGTTATGTAGTACAGGCTGGTTCAGGCTCCTGAACTGGTGCGATTTCCCCTGCTTCAGCCTCCCTGAATAACTACCACCCCACTGAACCTGGTGCCTGCCTCCTGTCTAAGCTTTCCTCCATGTTATCCTCCTGGCGTTGCAGCTGAAGTGTTGGATACAAAGTCTCTCTTTCTTTCCATGGAAGCTTTCCTCCCAGAGAACCATTCTGCAAATACAGCCCAACCACCAGGGGGCGCTGGTAGCAAGTAGATGGCATAACTCTCCTTTCATTGGGTCAAACTAGCCAAGGCCTTTTGTGTGCTTCAGTCTGATGATTTTGCTGTGGCTCAGACTTGCAGAGCTCTGGCAATTATACGGGAAATCAGATGATCACAGCAGCTCCGGCGTGATGAGTCTCGAGAGTCAGCAACTGTGTTAATTAATAAGTTGTGTTGGCTTCAGAGCTTCGCCAAGGGGAGATCATTTATTTTTTAATAGCTTTGGAACTAATCTACATGAGTCACGACAAATGGGCAAAAAATTGCTAGGCATTATCCCATATGCAGTGCACCCCAGCTAACATGTTGGCCAAGTCTCTGTGGAAAGATGAGTGCGGACTGTGGTTCCGGTGGCCAGTTGTGAGAGCTGTTCATCTTGGCATCCTCTTGGGGAGAACTGCTGGGCTCGAGAAACAAAGGGAGCTCCCGGAGGGATCACTGGGTCATCTTGGAAATGGACCCAGTGCAGAGAGAGGCTTGGGGAAAAATCTATACCCTGACAGGAAGAAGGGAGCCGCTCAAGTAAGGCCCCATCCTGTGTGCACTCAGAAGCAGGAGCCTGTGGGTGGTCCGGGCAGCCTCCTCCCTTTTTACCCTTTCCAGGTGCCAGTTGCTAATACAAGTGAGTTGAAGCTCTCCTCAGCATCAGCCCTGCCCATTCAGCCCAGAAAGAAAAGACAGCTTGCAGAGCTCATGGAAATCAAAGACCCAAAGGGCCCTGGACCAGCCTAGGGCAGCTGGATGGGTCAGCATCAAGCAAGCATTTGCCAATCCTGCTGACTCCACCATAAGGCCCCAGGGAGGGAGGCGGCTTAACTGAGAGGACTTGGGTAAAGTCTTTACAGACATCAGAGCCAGCGGCTTACATTCTGTCCTGAGAGCCTTGGGCAGAATGAATGCTTTCTACAAAGTCTTGGCTCCTGTACCAGAATGAATGGCCCTCATTTAGACAGCAGCTCTGTTTTGTGCTGTGCTGTTGAGGAAAGGGGATAGGACTCTCACTGGAAACATGTGCTGTTGTGTACCACTTTCTTGTGCACTAATGGCCGGTATATGAGGAAAGCAAGGGACGCTGTGTCCATGCAACAAAGTGATAGACTACAGAAAGACTGTTGGCTAGTGACAATTGGATGTGCGTACCTAGGGCTAGGGGGTAGTGGTGGTAAGAATGCACAAATGCTATTCTTATGTCTTCTCGAATTTCATCCTTGACAGGAATGTCCAGAAGCAAGAAAGGCTTTGGCCAGGCAATACCTTCATTTGAGAGCCAGAGAAGAGCTAGAGGAAGTTGGACAGGTTGGAGCTGTAGTGCGTGTGTTGTTCAAAGATTTGAATGTTTGTCAATTTATGTGAACATTCTTCAAGTTGGTTCTGAGGGAGGCAGACAAGAAGACAAAGCCAGTGACTCCACATTGGTCTCAAGAATTCCACAGACCTTATTGTGGGGTTGAATTTGAAATATGTGTATCTGTGTTATAGTATATATGTATGCATGTGTGTATATATGTGCCTCTGTGTGTGTGCATGTGTGCGTGTGTGTGCATGTGTGCGCACGTGTGTGTGTGCGTGTGTGCGTGTGTGTGTGCATGTGTGTGTGTGTGTGTGTGTGTGTGTGTGTGTGTGTGTTTACTTGCTGCCATAAAGTGGGCCTGGAGCTTTCAGGCAGCTTCTCAGCAGCACTGTAAGCTAGAGTTAAAGGTCAGCCTTAGAGAAGTACAGCCAATTACATCTTTAAAAAAAAATGAGAGGCATACATAGACATACTTCTCTAAATCGAAAGAAACTTTCTTGAGGTGTGGAAATTTGCTGAGTGTGACAAATATGGCGACGAGCCACCCAAAGGCAGATAAGCCTTTTTTTTTTCAATTGTTCACTTTTATGTGTATGGGTATGCCTGGTGGTCACAGATGGCATTGGATCCCTGGTATTGGAATTTCAAATGATTGTGAGCCACCAGCATTCCAGGTGATGGAAGAACAGTGCTCTTAATGGCTCAGCCATCTCTCTAGCCCCTTGATAAGCTTTATTTGTTTGTTTGAACTTTAGGGCTTCAAGAGGGAGAGCCACAGGCTTGCCTGCTCACTCCCAACCTTTAATTTGTTATTGCTCTGAGATTCTTGGCAACTCTTTTCATGATAAGCATTTAAGTGTCTACAGCTCACATGCAGGCCAGGGGTCCCTACTTTATATGCTGCTTGTCTTCTGGGGCAAGAGCTCAACGACTGGGGGCCAGGTCATGCTCCATCTGGTCTCTATGGCGTCAGGGTCACAGTCTTGAGAAACACAGTGGACCTTAATTACGTGTGGATAAGGAGCAGTGGACTGTAGAATGGCTGGGAGCCTTGGCTAGGCCGCGAGGCAGGACAGGAGACTCCCCCAGTGGTGTTGTGAGGAGCCTTTAGTAAATGCCTTCAGAGCACACTTGCTCTCCTTCCCGACCACAAATCAATGAGTAAATCCATGAATATCACCAACATACAGAAGCAAATTCCAAATGACATTGCTTAAAAATTGGTAAGCATTTATTAGATCAGTAAAAAAAAAAAAAAAAAAAAAAAAAAAAAAAAAAAAAAAAA